TAACATTGTCTGGACAGCAAAAGATCTAAAAAAATTTAAACCCTGATTCAGAATTGAAATACAAAGCATTTCTGATGAATGTGGCAAAGGCCTGGGCTACAGTCCAGATGGTGGCAGCAGAACCAGGGTCACACAAAGACTTAGCACGACCGGGCCCATCAACTTCCACCCCACGAAGGTCTCATGTGGACCCCCCAGGGCGACTCTTGAGTGATACGCGGAAAAAGACCCTCTTGAAAATTGTGAAGAGTGAACATTCCAAGGGGAAGAATACTTCTAGGCAATACCGTGTTTGCACAGTTCACCAAAAAAGGAGTATGTCTATATTTGCAAGTTCTGTGTAATGCCACTTCACAAAGGGGAAACTTTCCAGAAATATCACACCCTCAAGCACTTCTAGGAGCATTGGTGAGTGTTCTCCAAAAAATTTAGTTCAAAAAATTAATTAGGAGCTTTTATATTAATTTTTAAAGTGAACAGTGCACAAGTTAGGGTAGTATGTTTAAAAATGCCGGTCGCCAGGGTGATTTAAATATTTAAATCACCAGTCGGCGAAGTGTTAAATGCCTGAACCAATCATCATAGAACTTGGTACATATACCATGCCACCCTAGCCCATTTGAACAGCATACATAAAAAAATCCCTCCCATCATTAATAACATCATTACAGCCTTCCAAATTTCTGAGGCAAAACCTTAGTATTACTTGAACAACTGTACCAATCTTCATGAAACTTGGTTAAGTACATGATGCAACATGATGCTATCTCAACAGCATATGTGTATCACAAATCCCTCCCATCACTAATACCAACACTGAAGTCTCTCAAACTTCTGAGACAAAATCTTAATGTTACCTGAATGCCTACATCAATCATCATGAAATTTGACATATAAATCTATATCAAGACATGGAGGCCACCGCAATGGTGTACATTGTAAATACTAACACTACAGCCTCTCAAACAGTTGAGCTAATATCCTTAGTACTATTCGAATGCCTGAACCAATAATCATGAGACAATCTCAATCCACACATTTCAACTTACTTTGTTTCCTCTGCGCTACATTCCTCCATTCCCTGTGACACATCAGCTTTATCTACAGAAAAGCTCAGGAAAGGTTTCACATCAGTTTCATCATCTAAACTTGGTTCATCCTGAAAAAGGAGAGGAGTGGAAAGGTATACTTCAAACTGCAGTGTGCAAATTATCTGTGATACACCTCACTGCCCTTGTCTGCAACACATGAATACTGCAAACAAAAATTTACTTGAAGACCAATATTCTCTGTGATGTGAACCCATGTAATGTGGTAGAAATTTACAAATATTTTAGAGGAATGTACTGCCTCCATCTTCAAGGATGAAGAATAACTGGCGTACTCTCGGTTGAGGAGTAACTGGCGTACTCTCAGACCCTGGAGATAAAAGCAGTAGGCTCCTCTGAAACATTGGTGAACTTCTACCACACTACACAGTGTCACATCCCAGAAGACAGTCACTGCCATACGAACCTACAATCTCATAAATCTGTTTTCGCACTCACACACATACTCTGGGAAGTCAACCAAATTAGCAATGATTAGCAGACAAACTCAGACAGACTGTGAATGAAATCGGTGAGGAAATTCAATTCAGTTTTTACCAGCAACTAACAATGCCAAAAAGCTATTCACATCCTGTATTTGGTTAATTTACTGCACTGAAAAATACTTAAAATAAAAACTGTTTACTTTAGTTTGTTTAACCTTTATTGGACGAACGTCATCATATGATGTCGTTAAAAGTTAGGGCAGCTGGCCGAACGTCATCATATGATGTCGCGGATTCCACGCGTGTAAGGTTTTTTTTTAATATTATATTAAAAATATAATAT